TCTCCCTCTGCTCTCGTCTCTTTCTTCTTCATTTGGGCCAAAATCAGCCCCTTTTCTTTCTTTTTTATATTTTTAATCTTTCTAAATTTATGCTTCTGCCCCTAGATTACAGGTAATCCCGCTAAACCCCTACCACATCAGCATTTCTTTCAAATAAACCTCCAGATTTTGCCCCTTGTTACATGCAAACCCAGCAGCTTCCTTATCTTGCAATTTCATTCCCAATAAAACTTTTAAAAACTAACAGAAATCCCCTTCCATAAAAATAAAATCACACAGAATATGGAATATGTATTAGGATTAAAAACGGGGTTTCACACTTCGGGAGTGTGAGCCACTTTGTGGAGTTCCCTATGGAATCTGTCTATATAAGATTGGAGGAATTCATTCATCTCTTGCCATATGTTGCTTAGATAGCTCAACGACATCAAGAAATTCCTGTTCGCCTAGAAGTGTCTAAAAAATGACGAGCTCATTTGTTGCCACGAGCTGATAGATCCCACAGGAAGTGATCTAAACCAACGCTTGGCATCGGTAGTCAGAGTTACTGCTAAGCAGCGACTTTTGGCCAAGTCAAAGACTTGGTGGAGTTTTATGAGGTCGTTGAACTCATAAAGTGATCTTGCGGATCAGAATTCCCATCGAATGCCCGCATGTCAGGCATTCTGAATCTCTATGGGAGAGAAGCAGCTAACACTATTGGAGAAAACGGAGACGCCTCAGTGACCTTCCCATACTCATTCTGTTGAGCCTTAAGCTAATCTAAAGCTCGTTATAATTCCTCAATCTAAGGTAGTAGAGCTACCTGAGGATCACTTTCTGTAACATGGGTTTGACCCTCACGATTGAGGTTGAGGAAAGACCGCAAATCAGACTCTTTCTCAACTCGGCTGGAAATTCCTGTGAAACTTGACACATGCTGGCTGGGGTCGTGTGAAGGCATTGAATGGCTCGGGGAGTTTTCCCAACCTCCGCGGATGACGGGGGTTTCCCATATGATGACAGTCAAGGTCATCATTTAGGCGATACTGGGAATCTCCTTGCCTTGCGCTTTTATGGGAGTGCCTATGCGACATGCTGTGGGACGGCTCATGCTGTGACATGTCGCCAAGTCGCAATGCCACGCGTATTATACCTGTTGCTCTACCGATGTTCGCGAGTCCCTCGGAGCCCTTCAGTCCACTGTTAGCCATTTACTTTCCCTTACTTTTACGTACTGCAGCGCGCGCGGTCTAGGCTTTCAGCCTTTTCTACATTTTTGTGTGACCTACAAGCGTCTTTGGCAGTGGCATCGCCTCGTTGGACTCTGGTGGTATGACCTGATCCAAACGATCTAACCTTTGGCTAACCATTTGGAAGGTATTGTTGAACCTCTCTAAGTAATTCAGCACCCTTCTTCTAGCACCAAACTGTTGATGCTTGATTTTGACACCAACGACTCGCACGTGCAAAGTGCTAAGCGGACTTAGAAATTACACATGATATGGAAATATGCAACGAGAGAATAAATGAGAAGCGGTTTTTAAAGTGGTTCAGATGCTCAAAAGTGAATCCTACATCCACTAGGGTTGTATTAATAGATGGTTACAGTCAGGTCACGTATAACGAGCTAAATTACAATCTTGAGAGAATTGAATATATATATATATATATATATATATATATAGAGAGAGAGAGAGAGAGAGAGAGTGTGTGTGTGTGTGTGTTTGTGTGTGTGTGTGTGTGTGTGTGCTTTTGAAGACTAAAGATAAGCCAATCCCGTAAATGAGAGAGAAGTCATCTATTTATAGTTGGGGGATTCAAGGTAGTAATCATGATTCTGTAGTCAAGCAGGTGTGCTAGAATTCCTAACCCGCTTCCCATTGGTTGTCTGCATGGGAGACATCCTTAAATCGCTTAGGGCTTGGGCAGGTGGACAAAAACCTAGCCACTCACAAGCCTAGCATTCACCAGCCATACTGACGATAGCCTTATCTCTTTCATTCTTGCGCGATGTGACAACGTTTAGACGGCACAAAGCCTTCTTGAACTCTGATTGGCCCTTGTTGGTGTGAGCTCATGTCAACCCTAATTATATATATATATAACAGGTGAACCAACTCCATCATACTATATATATAACAGGTGAACCAACTCCATCATAATATATGTATAAAAGGTGAACCAACTCCATCATAATATATATATAACAGGTGAACCAACTCCATCATAATATAAAATATATGTATTTCTCTCTATGTAAAGTTCATGTTTTTAAAATTTAACCTTGTCTAATCTAAAGGAAATAACAGGTGAACCAACTCCATCATAATATAAAACATATGTATTTCTCTCTATGTAAAGTTCATGTTTTTTAAATTTAACCTTATCTAATCTAAAGGAACTTTAAGTTTGGCGAAGTCTAATTAGTTAGGCCAGATTTTCTCGACCCGAAATCTAGCTATTTTTATAATATTAATATTAAAATTTTACATCTAATGTGGATCACGCGGTCATTATTAAATTCAGACCCAAAGAAAACTAGAGTAATAACAATACTCACTTCACTTTATTTATTTATCATAAATTAGGGTTAAATTTTTGTCGTTATTATTATGTAAATAATATATGTCACATCGATTGCTATATTTTCCCATTACTTTATATGAATTGGTCACCACTATTAACTATAGGGATCATTGGATACATAGAATGTTGTATTACTGAAAAAATAGAATTATCAATAAGATAGATTAACTTGAAGATTAAGGGGAATAAGGCCACATAAATATAATAACAGAGTCCTGGCCGAATAAGGCCAAATTGATGCACCGCTGGCCAAATCCAGCTAGATGTGGCTATTCTGGTGAATACCAGCGGTGATGACCGATGGCCGACAATCGTCTTGGGTGACTGGGGGGGTTTCGTATTAATTTTAAACTTTTATTTAGTTGAGGTGTTTTAGCAAACTCTAAGTGGAGGGTTACAGAAGTCATTTGCACAATTGGGTTAATTACTATTTGACAAGCATATAAAGGCATTTTTGTCCAAAATATTAATTAACTAAAGATAAATGGGAATAAAAAATAGATTACTCTAGTAATCTTAAAATAATACTCTTTCACTCGGTAATCAAATTACCCCTAACTTTATCAATAGTAAATACTATTTACATTGCAAGATTACCAAAGCCGTTTGTTTCATTATTCCATGTCCTATTTCCAATCCTATCTTCAAAATAACTGTTTAATTCATTATCCTCAAAATACAATTAATTTTCTTAACTATTTTAAATCCCTTAAGTTCATTAATTTAACTAAAAAACCTCAGAAAAAAAATTTAAAAATTAACAAAAACACCTCCATCCACCCACATTTGTCATATTCCGGCCATCACCGCTGGAAGGTGGCCGGAATTAGTATAATGGCACATTACCAACTGGATAGTCGGTAGTGTGTTTATCTATCATTTTTGGCCAAATCCATGATCAAAGATCTAGCCATTGATAGTCAGATCTTTCGCCGTAGCTAGTCGTCAACGATGATCATATCTTTGACTGTCGTTGACGGCTAGATCTGGCATTTTCCAACTAGATCTATGGGAGATCTGGCCAAAAATGTCATATCGGTACATGAATAACCAGATCCGATCGGCACATGTCGTAACGCTAGATTCTGATGGTAATGGCCAGAATCTGGCAACTGTAGGTGTGGGTGTTTTTACATTTTATAAAAATTTTATAATAAGGTGTTTCAAAATTAGCAAACCTAGAGAGATATTTTTATTATTTTAAATCCTACCTCATTATTCTCAGCTAACTCTAAAAATATCTAAAATCATCTAAAATACTAAAACAAATGGATATTCTTTTTTGAGACAGAGAATGGGGTTATCCTTAACCAAACCGCCGTAGGGGTTTAAAAAAATAAAGTAAACAACCTTGGATTAAATTTGATTAAATTGTACAACAGCTCATTCCGCTTTAAAAGGTGTCAATTGGTGATCATTATGTTCAAGTCACATCAATCTATTTGGATACATCACGTGTTTGAACACTTTTATGCCATTAATTAAATATAAAAATAATACGGTTAACTTGCCATTAGATTGATCGACGAGTGAATGGAAACAATAACAATAGCCAAACACTGTTAGTGGCCGACCACTTAGGCCGGTGAATTCGCGGCCACAACTGGGTTGACACCGGCGATACTATTGCACTAACTGATTGCTGATCTATGTAATGGAGTCGACGATATCATCAAATGTACAGCGTTTTGCGTATCTGGCTGACAAAGCCATGTTTACCTCTCTCTATTATTGTTCATGAATCAATTACAACCAAAGTTTACTTTTATTCAAATGGTAAGTCAGACATGTCTATGTAAGAGAAGAAACTGAGACACAATCACATGAAAACTGTTGATGCTCGATTTGCGCACCAACCAATTGTCACGTGGGTGACACTGTTTTATGGATTTTATGCTCGTGACAATGGATGCCTTTTATAGAAATAATGAAAAGAGGCTTTTTAAGTGGTTCGGATGCTAAGGTAGCATTCCTACGTCCACTGATTTGTATTGATGTTGGTGTGGGTCAGGTCGCTAAGCGGACTGACGTACAAGAGAGTTAATGAAAGTACTTGCTCTTACTTTTACAAGAGAGAGAGTTATCTCTGGGTAATGAATGAACCAACCCCCTTAATGGTGAGGTTTTCTACATTTTATATCGAATGGAAGCGGTGTAATCATCATTAAATCTACGGGTTGGTGTGTGTCAGCACGTCATCCATCTTCAGTCCCGTTTCCCTTTTTCCAAGCTGACTTTGCATGACTTGCTGCAGAGAGACGGACGCGTGTGAGCTCCATGTTTATTCACAGGTCTGACGTGCGCACATTGTCCTGACGGGGGCAGATTACTCCTGACGCGACTCCTCACGTCAGCTCTTCATTCCCGTGCATAACAAAAACAATAGTAAGCTACATATTTTTAGTAACACAGATTGGAAGGTTTTACAACTTCTAGGATTTTTTAAACGTCAAATCCGAGCATGAAAGTTCTTCATAAAACTTTTCTAAACGTTCTGACATGGAAGGTGTTAAATGATTTTTCCAATCTCCCACTTCACCTTTCCTAAAGAAGATACTGTTTTTAACCCCAGTAGGAAGTGTACCAGTCTTGTTCACCTCAAAATCTTTCATGTTATCAAAACTGCAAAATTTCGATATATCTCCTATTACTCCTTTACTCTCTTCATCCTCAGTGAAAGGAACACCCAGGAAATCAGCCAATCTTTTAACATGAAAGTTGATATTTTCTTTTAAATCTTCATATCTCAAGAATAATATCCTATGTGGCTCCTCTTTGCTAGCCTTCCAGTATCCCAACACATGTGCCCAAAAAGGGCCAAAGGCTTGGACTCCATTAAAAACCATCTCAAAAGCTTCATCAAGTGAAACCGGCTCTAACCCTTGGTTGACAGCAATTTCGAACAAGAATTTCCATTGGGATACGAATTGATCCAAGGGATTTCTACACATGTAAACTATGCGACAATTAGAATTCACAATAGATTTTGGTAATGAAGCAAAAGGGGTATGAGCAGCAAAAACTCTTGGAGAAGGAAGATCTTCAAGAACAGGAGGTTGATTGCTCATATAAAGACGAAGGTCAAGGAAAGGTACTAGCTCATGAGGACCAGTAGTGAGCAAGGGACTATTTTGTAGTGCATAACGGGAACGATTAACGATGGTAAAAGCAAGAGCTTTAAGCCATGTGGTGCCCGATTTAGGAAATGTGACTAATATTATGTCACTGTCCCGTGCTTGGAAACGCTTCAGGAAGGAGATGATGCCAGGAAGGAATCCAGATTGACACCAAAACCCTTGGTATTGACAAAGTTCACGACCATTCCAGTTGGTCGCTTTGGGAAGCTGAGTCAAGAGTTGCTCAATCTCTTTGCTAAATTCCTGCTCTTCCACTGCAGGTGAAGGAATCTCAGAGTCTCCCGATCTTTTCTCCATGAAGATTTTACACTAGGAAAATTGTACTTACTGTGAACGACAACAAACATTGAACACATTTATATAGTTGAATATTTTTATACAGCCTTTTGTATTTTATTAATGTTTTTTTCCCATAGTGCCGGTGGAAGCAGTAACTGATGATGGGAACATTGGGAAGATACAATAATGTAATGAAAGTGTGAGTCATGCTTAGATATCATATTCTAAATAGATTTTAGCAAATTAGTATATCAGCAGAGTATTTTCTTTTTTTCTTTTTTACTTAAAACTCTCTGTCTGCTGTAAGCTAGAGGGATAGATAATGCACCGAATTAATTAACCAGGTAATTAATTATAAGGATATAGTTGTATAACAATTAACTTAATTTCTATAACTGGCAATCACTAGCATTTGTCTATTATTTTATAATGACCCGTCATTATTTTTGAAGATATTTTTCAGATTAAAAGATCTCTAAATTCTAGCTGTATTTCAATGTTAGACACCTCGGCAAAACAATAGATCAGAAGAGTATTTTATTTCTGCAGTCTATGTGAGGGATTACATATGATCGATCATCACATCACATAATACATAATTTTATTTTAAGCTAATTTTGAAGACACAAATATGCAAGCCCCTCAAATAAATAAATAAATAAATATATACATACATACATATATACACAGTATATATATATACATTGATTGTGTGTGTGTGTGTGATTTTTCCACCAAGCTTGGGCTACCGCGAGGATGTAGCTGACGCAGAATCAGCTCGACTACGACGATTGTCCGACCAAGTATAAGCTCGTCGAGATTTAGCTCGACCCAACACAAGCTAGTCGCAAACAATCTGTGCGATTGTTCAACAAATTCCCAGATAGCTCCAAATCCCAAATATTGGGAATGATAATATTGATAGCAATCCTTGCGCAATCACAGCGCCCAATCGCAAGAATATCGAAGTTGCATTTCAAATCAATTGTAATCCCTTTATTTTCGCTCTTTCATTTTTATAAACATTGTATATAAACCCCCTCCAATGATGGAAAAGGGGTTACAAAATTTTCATAGAGTTCTTATTGTAAGCTCTCACAGCAAATACAAGAACAGTGGACGTAGGCTTTACAGGCTATCGCAAGTGTACGAAATCGCACAAGTAGTAAAGCTCAAGTAAATGAGTGTCGAATCTCGAGAGAACTACCTACCAAGTATCAAACTAGTCTATTTTATTGCTATTTGATGAAACAGAATTTTAAGAATGAATTAATGAAAAATAAAACAAACTAAAAAGTAAACAAAAGCAGAATTGTATGAATACTTTGGTAAAACGATCAATAAGACTAAACCTTGGGCACAGATTTCACACCAATTTAATCATATGCATTGACAATTATTGCTAACCTAATTAAACTTATTCTAAAGGCTAAACTCCCTAATATTTCACTAACTTTCTCTCGAACAATTAGCGAATTAACCCTTAAGCAACAACCCAAAATACCTCGAAGTTGGATTTAGAAGTAAAGAGATCATTAAGTTCTATGGAATTTACCAGAGCCTCATAGATCGCGGTAACCTATCTCTAGCGTTCGCTCAGTCTATGGTTTTATTACCTTAGACTAATCAGGTTTCATCTCTCGATCTCAACCTAACCCATAAAATCATTCAACTCTCGGGCCCTTAAGAATTGAAAGCATTACACACAATAATAAAACTTAGAATTAATGCTCAATTTAAAATTAACAACAATAACATCAACACATATTCATAAATTGAGCTACATCTTTAGCCCTAGAAAAGGGATTTAGTTCATAGTTGTAGTAATAAAAACAACCATTGGATTAAAAAACATGAGTTCAAGAAAGAAAAATAGAAAAACTTCTCTAATTGGCGAACGAGAATTGCAGGAATTCCGATCTCCAAAATAGTAGCCGCTCTTTCTCCTTCTCTAATCTCCCTAAAAACTAATTAAAGACCCTTATTTATAGTGCTAGGGTTTGGAGGTTAATTAGGAAAGAATTAAATGTCTTAAACCATTCAGATTTGGACTAGGAGAATACAATAACCAAATAGCCCCGTGATCCATCGTTGCGGCGATAAGAAACGGTCATTGTGGCGATCGTTCTTTCTGTCCCACGAGTCTAGAATCTTCAGAATCTGATGAATTCATCAACATGAACTTTGTAGCTCTCTAAATAAGCTTTCCAATGCCACAAGAATCATCAAATTCCAATTTTTATAGCTCAAGTTATGATCAAAACATCGAAGCATGATTGTCTTGAAGGATTTCCAGGTTTTATGTCATATCCTCAACGTGTCACAACTTTCTTGTTTCAACTTCGATTCTTTCACTGTTTGTCAGGTTTTATGTCATATCCTCAACGTGTCACAACTTTCTTGTTTCAACTTCGATTCTTTCACTGTTTGTTCCTACTCATCATAGATTCCATCGACATCATTCTTCTTCATTCAAATATCATTTTTAACCTGAAAATACTCAAAATACACCCGTGATCCCGTAAAAGGTATTTATGAAGTAATTAACTCAAATTTCACAATAAAAACACATTTTTTCACAAATAATCCAATTGAATCACTAATAAAATATGTATTTTCAAGCTCTTATCACAACCCTTAGCCAGCTTCTTGCTAGTCCCTAGCAAACTAAGTGATAAAACAAGTCTCTAAGCTTGAAAATAAAACAAACAATTAAAACATTAAACCTATATCTAAACTATCCTAAATCACTTTTATAGATTAACACGATTGCATTTAGCGTATGCAACAAGCCTTTAAACCCTTGGGCGGCCATAGTTGGACGAGTTGTAGTCTCGTGAGGATTTCCAGCGATGATACCCACAAACATCCACACTAAACTTAACATAGACTCCAAAAATAAAAATAAACTTAAAAAGAACTAAAACTAACAAAAATTCTTGGATCAATTCATAAAGTTGTCTAAAAAATTGTATATACACAAAACAAATAGAATAATTAAAAATCACCTAAACTCACAAACAATGCAACGTCAATTCCATTTTCGTTATCGACCCTATAACATCCATACAACCACAAACCATTAGTCTACAAACCCGGATGGTTTTATGCATAACATTCATGACCAAAATTTTGATCTCAGTATTTGGGTTATGACTTATAGGTGAATCATGGAATCAAACTCCATAAACTCACTTTTCAAACCACTCTTCACTAATGTAGAAATTCATACTACCTTGGATCAGTAGGTCTTTGTAAAGGTTGTAATGTTAGGCCAGGGTATGGGTTTATGAAAGAACAGAAAGGGAATTCAACAAAAATCAAATTAAGAGACTTAATCTTCATTCATTCTTATTACTATCATACAAAAACACTTTCCTTTTTCACTCAGCAGCTTCCCAACCTTTATCGAGCTCTTTCTTTTTGACACTAACATATACCCATTTGCATAATTTATCATCTTCTCAATGCTTTTCAATGCCCACTTTTCTTTTCTTCCTTTTTTTTCAGATTTTTTTTTTCTTTTAAGAACAATAAAGTAGAAAAACACACAAATCCCTACCTTGATCTTACAAGCACTCCCCAACCCCCAACCAGTTTCTTTGCATAAACCTGGGTTATGGCAGAACTACACTTCCTCACCAACACTCATAATAAGCTTGAATTATAATTAAGTCTCTTAAAGATAAAACGGGTAAGATTGTGTTTTAGGCTCATAATTAGGGTAGGGAAAAAATTAAACTCCAAGAAAGAAAAACAAGGCTAAATTGTGTTTAAAAGGCTCCAAGGGTTAACTAGTGATGATAATAAAAAGGGTCAGCTTGAAAGGCTCAATCGGTCCAAAAACAGCCTAAATCATTTCCTAAGTGGTGTGAACTCAAGGATTTCACCTCGAGTGGTTATCAAATAAGTTCTAGAGTTTGTTGAGATCGCAAAAATGTCCATGAAAACTTCACACATAAAACGTCTCTAAGTGAGTCAACTTATCCACTTTCAATTCACAAACTGCTAAGGTCTCAAAATGTTATTAACATTCACAATCATCCGTAGTTAAAGGAAAAAATTAATGTCCTCCACGTGTTACATGTTATTGCAATCATATTCCTATCATAGACATATAAATTAATCCAAGAATAGAACCAAAATTCAAAACAGAACACAAAAATAAAAATAAAAAATTTCTCATAAATCCATAAATTCGAAATCTTTGGGAAGAAACTTCCCTTACCCCCAACCTAAAATCTACATTGTCCCCAATGTACAAATGCAAACAAAAGGAAAAGGAGAAAAAGAAAAGTTACCCCCTTTTGCAATAGTGAAGTGCGAATACGCGTGATAATTCAATCACCAACTCATTTCATTCCATTGTTGCCTTTTAATTCTGTCAAAACAAAGAAACTTGCAGTGCACCTCATCGGAAACACACATCACATGTTAAATTTATGAATTTAGAGAAACAAACATAACATCAAAATTATTTACATTAAATAGAAAAAAAGAATTAAACATACTTGAAAATTAACACCTGCAAAAAGAACAAACTAATCAATAGAAGAAAAAAATAAATAAATAAAAAGCTTGGGTTGCCTCCTAAAAGCACTTGGTTAAAGTCGTAAGCTTGACTTTTCGTTTTTTTCAATCTGGATCATCTAGGAGAATCCAAGCCCTCATATCTTTAATTTCACCATTCAAATAGGGCTTTAATCGTTGTTCATCTACCATCTCAAAGTCAACCTCCATAATCCTAGAGTTGACTAAACAATCCTCTAAGGGTGACCTAGGGTAGTTTTCTTCTAATTTTTTATTCACTATGTTATCAAGGACACTAATATCAAAGCATGTGTCTAAGTCGGATGGACACTTCTTAACATCAACAACATTAAACTCTACTTGCTCATCTTCCACCCTTAAGATTAGTTTCCCTTGATGAACATCTATCAATGCTTTACCTGTTGCTAGAAAAGGTCATCCTAGGATTAAAGGCATTTTTCAATCTTCCTCCATGTCTAACACTATGAAAT